TTTCCAATTGTTAACTATTTGATAACTTATAGCGTTGTTAATTTGAATCATATTTATGTCACGCTATTACGTAACAGCAGGATCGTCTATTAGAAGTATAAAACATACTGATATAATTATGTAGAAAAATACCTAAATATTTTACCTTCACTAAAATTGTAACAAAAATTTTATGGTCTAATTAAGATTTTTTTTGGGCACTTGGAACCGCGCACTATATTGTAGATTTATCGAAGAAACAATTATAACAAAATAGATTTTTTTGTTTTGGTATTCTTTCTGTTTTTTATAGATAGATATTAAAAAAGAATGTTTTTGCGATGCTTAGCATTATTGTTTTTAAATAAAAATATAGGAATAATAAATTACTCATCCAATACGTTAAACGTTGAGAACTATGCCAGGAATAAGTCTTGTTTACTTATATAATATGGCAATTGTGGCGTGACAATAAGCCACAGTTAACATAGAATTATAAAGCCATAACGGCCAAATCTTTGAGGGTTTATGCTCAAAATAATTAAGCTAAGGCCCCGTTAAAACATGATTGTATATTCCTTTTAGGAATAATGTTATATTTTTAATCACAGAGGAAAATTTTTAGAGCAAAGCCTCTGTTTTGTTTAATATTCATTTTGTGGGTATTTCATTTAGACCAGTTTTGCTTTTTCGTACGATATTACACTAGCTCGAGTCCTCATATAAAACTGTAGTTTTAAAAATTAAGATAAATATCAGATTTTTAATCACAGTATATGTATGTACATAGTTGTTATTATATATAAATATACTAATTAGGAATACAGTAGTATGTGATATTAGGTATATAATTGAAACATAAATTATAATTATAAAATTACACTTTATACTGGTCATTGCCCGCGGCTCTGCTTGTGTGGTCGTTACGTCGATTAAACCAATATGCTAATATAGCATAAACATTAAATCCGTTAAAGTTACAAGAAATAAAAAATACACATTCAATTAAAGGAAAAAATACAATAAGTAGGTATTACTTTAGAATGATATATATTGGGTCAGTGACCCTTTTATATTATTATGTATATCTACAACAACAATGAGGTTGTTATTTATCGATAATCTTTTGACAGTGTGAATTCCCCTCATTTATTATCATGTTATGACTGTCATACAACACGATAAGACCAATTAAATTAAAATAAAACATAAAATACTACGTTTACCTTTACGATAACGTCATCTGGGTTTTTAGTTATACATATACTAGTATTATATGATTTGTGGTTATATGTATATTATATGTATAAACACCTGGGCAAAATTTTCAAAAAAGATTAAAATGTGGTGTTTTTTCAGAAAATACACTTATATAGATAAACTTAAAAACAAAACCCGACTGCGCCAGCGGGTGCAAAAGACGGGGCATAGTTAATATTTTGAAATCGGTGTAACTATTTTAGTAAAAAGTAATAATTTTCTCTATTTTCTATTAGTACTAAGATACTCCATTTGATAGTATCCAATTAATATGAACTCATTCACCCCCATATGAATTGATAGTATATTTTATAGGATTATTGAAAATTCATATTATTATGTTGCGAATGTTCGATTAAGTCTTGTCTAACCTAGTCGGTACAGGAGTACTACTAGAGGCCTCTCAAAGTTTTAACAACTGTATAACGACTCACTTCTGAGTTGGAGCTTGTTGGTAAACGATAGATAACAAAACTTTTGTAATATTATGCAAAGAATATTATTAAGACTGAAATATGATTATTTTGTTCATAATATTCAGTTATTATATTTAATTCTTGCTTATATTATAAACAGTTATTTTTTACTTTTTAGTGCTTTTGTTTGAAGTCGGTTTTTATTTTTTTGTTATTGTTTTGCATGCTTGAACATAATGCTTGATATAGAAAGATGGCCTGGATATAGTCATAATTGCCATATATACGATGAGGATTTCCACGAAATAAGAGGTTTAAATAAGAAATTTAGACCAACTTTTAGAAAGCGTTTTAAATCAACAAAAAATCTGATGTAAGTTGGCTTGTTTAATACTTACTCTATATTCCAGTCAACATTTAGAATATTATTCAGTGAATTCGTGGGGTTATCAGTGTTGTATAAAACAGCTATCATAAAAATAAATTGTAATGAAATATATAACTTATAATAAAATTTAAACAAAACCAGAGTGTTTTTGTTTTTGAGATGAAAAAGAAGCCAAAGAACTATTAATGTATGTTTGTTTGTATATGATTTACTCGAACACCACTTGGTTCAATGGTAGATTTTAAATTTGATGAATTAAAAACATAGAGAAGCTCGCTTGGCTGTTTTCAGCGGTTAGACTAAATAGATCCCACACAGACTAAGCTGCATGAAGCAGCTAGTATGTGACTATCTACCTTAATTATAATAGTTTGTATTAATATTAGCATTAGACCAAAAACCAAATTTTTAGGTTTTACATATTAGTATACTCTTACATTGCAGTTTTTATATTTTTTCTCAGAAATGAGATATTTTCCCGCGGTAAAAAGTATGTTATATGTTGACCCGGATAACCAGCTACCACCATACCAAATTTCGTCAAAATCCCTCTAGTGGTTTTACCGTGATGCGGTAACAGACAGACAGACAGACAGACAAAAATTCTAAAAACTATAGATCCGGCCTCTGTATCGATAATAATGTTTATGAAATAAGATTTTTCAAAAAATATTTCATGTACAGATTCGGCTTAGTTAGAATTTTATTATATGTACTAGCATTGCCTGCGACTCCGCCCGCGTTCAGATGACCAAAAAACCAATTTTCTTAGGTTTTACATATTAGTATACTCTTACAATGCAGTTTTTGTATTTTTTCTCAGAAATGAGATATTTCCCGGCTGTAAAAAGTATCCTATATGTTGACCCGGATAACCAGCTATCATTATACCAAATTTCATCAAAATCTGTATAGTGGTTTTCTCGTGATGCGGTAACAGACAGATAGACAGACAGACAGACAGACAAAAATTCTAAAAACTATAGATTCGCACTCTGCATCGATAATAATGCCTATTTCAATAAGATTTTCAAAAAAAAATATTTAATGTACAGATTCGGCTCAGTTAGAATTTTATTATATGTATAGATAGATAATCTTTCTCTGACATGCCCGTCTTACTTTTTATTTTTCCAGTGTATTTGTTCTCTTTAGAGATGAAATTCTAATAGTCTTTTCTTAGTGGTTACTTATGCCATTATTGGAATACACTGTCGAAAGTTCATCCCTCAGGTCCACTGGTCAGCGTTAATGAATCAATTAGAACAAGCAACTTTATAATAATTATATTATATCATAATACGACTTTTGGTCGCGTTGAGCAAAGAGGTATTAAAAATACCACTCTTTTATTATACAAATACTAGATTTAATAAATGCTTATATTCTAATATTATAATAATTTTAAAGACTTTTTATAGCTATCTGTAAACCGACATTAGAAAACCGTATGTCATTTGCATATACATTAAATTTCATGTACCAAAGAACTTAGGCTTATATTAAGCCTAAATTTATATAATCATATTGTAAAAGTATACATAGTGTGAGTTTATTTAAAAGTGTTTAGTGCAATTATTATTGCTAAGCTGTTTCAAATAATTTTAATATTTCGATTTAGACCGTTTTTCCACTGATGGCATGATTTATAGGTTTGGTTTTCTTTTATTGAATAAAACACTGTTTAAATGTGACATTGCTTCGGGTATCAAATATGTACTATGTTTATTTCCCAAAAAATTCTATCTTACGTATAATTAAAGGGTTTCAAAGTTCCATTGAGGTCTGAGCAAAAAGCGGGCTGTTTTTTATAATCCCATAAATTTTATAAATGCGAAAGTTTGGATGTATGTTTGTTACTGTATCACGCCAGAACGGCTGAACGGATCTGGATGAAATTTGGCACAGATATAGATTATAGTCTGTCATAACTTACTTTTTCTCCCGTAAAAATAAAAAAGATTTGTTTTTATTTTCCACACAGTATATAAATGTAGAATTTCTGTATCCATTTCCACATCTTTTATAATGTTTTATGTTTTGTAAAATAATCAAAAATCTAGAATGATCATATTCTCTTACATCTTCTCTTGAACTGCTGATTATTATGATGTGTGCCTTATACTAGTAGATTGCAATATAAAAATAACTATTTTACTTTTATTTTACCATAAAAGTAATATGGCGTTAGGTGAGCCATTTTATTTATTTATTTTAAAAGTTTAACAAATTGGTAAGGTAATAATATTTTTTTTCATGTGATATTAATTAATAAAAGGGCTCGATATGATAGATAAATATTATAATTTTTTAAATTATTTTTATATTTTTTTAAGTGCATGATTTAGAAAAGGAAATAGTCAATGACAACACATATTTATAAAGAATTGTCATTTCTCTTGTCAGTTATCACCGAAAATAGTGAACGAAAACTTTTGCAAATGAATACCCGTATTTTATAATATTTATGATAAATATTATGAAAACTTAAAGTTTTTTTTAAATTAAAGTAACTCTATTAACCTATAGATAATAATTGTATATAACTCATTTTTATATACAAGCAGTCTCGCCGGTATAAACGTTAGTAATTTCATTTATTTAAATATGTTTAAGTAAACAATTAAATTGTTTTCATATAATAACGAATAATTCATTACTTAATTTTTATTTGGAAGGAATAAATTCTCTATTGAGTTTCATTTACATTAAATTAATTTTATAATAAAACAAAAAAAATATAATTCTTATGGTATTTTAATTTTTATATAATTGAAAAATATTTTTTATGATAATAATAATGTGTTTATTATGTAATTGAAGTATATAGGAGCTTTATTTTTAGTTTCTTCTACTAAAAATTTAAAATTATAAATAATTCAGAGGCTAATGCAAATAATTTTATTACACAATCATGGGTGCGGGACCAATTCCAATAAAAGATTCAAGTCTTACTATGAAAAATCTGAATAGCGCTGATCAGTTCCGTGAGGCTCATAATTATAAAGACCATCCGGGCTTGAGATATACACTTTATTATTATTACGATATCCGTTTCCAATTTGAATAATTTTTGGTTTACTTGACAGATCTCGGCCCTGAAAATAAAATATAGTTAAACTTAAAATAAAGCTCTTAGTATAACAAATATTTTCGTAATAGTGTATTTACTACGAAGTGATACTACTTGGTAAAGAAAAATAAAGGCCTAAAACTATCTCTATGTAAAAATCACTTTTAGTATAAGATCCCGATCTATGTGGTGGACCCCTCATTCATTTTCCAAGCGAAATATAATTCAAAATTCGTATTAATAAACACGAACCAGGAGGCTGTCACCAAAAATTTGCTTCTGGCTAATTTTAATTAAATAAAATTTTCATTGTTTTTTTTTTTAAGTACAACAATTCTTTTTCTGTGACAAATTAGTATCAATCGGAAGTAAAAGAAGTACGTTTTAAATAAAACTATCTTTTCGGATTATTTTGCGGATTTATTTTCATTTTTGGTTCCTGACGTTCAAATATTCGCGTAAATCTAAGAAAGTATTATAAAAGAAGTACGTACTAAAAATATGTATATTAAAGGAATAACAAATATCTCATTATAACATTAACAATAATATCATAATAATATATAGACTTTGCAATAATAATTTAAAAACTACTTAGCAATAATTAGCATAACTAAGTTAGTCCTAAGAACTTTTTATTTTAAGATTACTTACAAATATTAAATTGTCCACGAAATGTCTCATTCCAAGAATAATATCTCTCAAACACCGTTTCGTTCGGGTTATATTCTGTAATAGAGTGTATTTTTTTTATTATTAGTTATTTATTATCTATGCATCAAAAGATTGCTACAGTTTATAACGAAATTAAAAAAAAACATGTTGTAGTATTTTCACGACGTTCAAAAATGTATTGTCTAATTTTTATATTCTTTCATAGTTTTACCTCTTTAATTTAATTAACTCTGTCTCTTTTTAACGTAAAAACGTTAAAAGCATATATATATATATATATATATATATATATATATCTAAACATGCAATAATAATGCATACGAAATAAATATCACAATATAATATATGTGTCTATCTCAGGGAGCAGACAAAATAACTTCATCAGTTTCAGTAAGCCTAAACATGTCATAAGGATATACTATATAATTGCATATTTATTTCGATATATATAAATATAGAATAATATAAATAGATTACCTCTGGCGGATTACATCCTACACACGGAACTTTTTCTATATCGCTGAAACAAAAAAATATATTTATCAATATATTATAACATATGGTTCGTACAATGTACATAAATATGTACAGGAGATACTTTTTAAATAAAACTATCTTTTTGATTTTTTTTTGTGAAGAGTCTCTCTCATTATCATGATGATTACTGTAAAGCATTCGAAACGTAGGGAACCATTTAAATGAAAATAAATTTGCGAATAAAATCAGAAAATCTGATTTTAGTTTTATTTCAATTGTCAAATATTCGCGTAAATCTAAGAAAGTATTATTTCATGATACTTTTATTTTATTTCAATATTATTAGAATTAAAATAACAGCGGCTTGATTTTTATTTAAATCATTAAAAAATATTAAATTAAAAGTATGTGTATTTTTTTACATCTATAGGAGATAAAATTATAATCCAATTATTACCTTGATGGTCTTGACTCTACCATAGCCACAACAGCCAGTATTGCGAGACACATCAATATTTTTGGCATTGTTATTTTTGAATAGCTTTAGAAAAGGCTGATATATGATGAGGCACTTACTAGTATGCCCTGATTGCCCTATTACCTGCAAATTATGGACGCCACTGATAAAGTTATAACGATCATCGATACAAGAAGAATGAGAGAAAAGCTTCATCATTGTATAATACATTGTATTGAGTAAAAGAAACGCAAACTTTACAGATAGAACAAACCTTAGAAACAGAACAGACAGACAAGTTAATTTTAATTTTTAATTTTAATTAACATAATAATATAAATAATATTACAAGCAACATAAAAATGGTTTAGATTATAACAGTTTATGTCAAATTCACCTACCTTTTACTTTATAAATATCTATAATTTATACGGGGTAAGTAGACACTGGTTAAATACGATTTGTAGTGACTTTGTTTCACACATATGATAAATTATGGAATGAGTTCATCGTATACTAAACGGGAATATATAAATACGATATCTTCGTATTTTACACACTATCTGTAGGTCACAAGTTATGAAAATTTCTCAAATAGGTATTTTTGTATTATGAAATAAACAAAACAAAGCAATCTTAAGGCACTTTATCAAAAGGTTTTTTTTAATGTAAATAGTATAAAATATTCATATTTATTTTTTATTATAAATATATATATATATATATATATATATATATATATGAAATTGGCGTTTTATTTGAAAAGAGAAAAACGAAAAAAATTATATTATGAAATTATATATTAAATCAATCAAGTTAAGTATTATTGTTACCCATTCACTTTCACCATTGATTTTTTTCCTTGCAAGTAATTCTCCAAATTCCGCATAAAGTGGTAATCTGTTGGACCAAGGTCATAGCTAGCTTTTTCATCATGGCTTGTAATTATTGATACAGGTCAACCGTAATCATCTGGCCAGGTCTTAGGAAGCTGTAGTGGACGACACCAGCACTGGGCCACCAGACATATACCAGTACCTTTTTCTGAGTCAACTTTCATTTGGGACAGGATTTGGCCAGTTCTCCTGGGCTAAACCATTGTGATTAGCGTTTCCGATTAACGTACAGGATCCAATTTTCATCACAAGTAACGATATGATTTAAAATCCAGTCGTTATTGTGACGGTTGAGTAATATAACGCTGCACTCGATGCGTGTTTGTTGGTGTGCTTCACTCAATTCATGCGGTTCCTTATTTGCGAGCTTTTAAGTCAACTTTACTTTTGACTATAAAGTAAATATGTATGTATGTATGTATATATGTATGTATGTGTACTTGTATATTTATATTATAATTGATATTTGTAGTTTGTACCTACACCGCACCTCATTATTATTTTTATATTTTCTCACGCTAGTAGAGATCTCTTAAAGAGATAAGTCATCCTTTATACACATGGTATTTGTTTTCACTTTTGTTTCTTTTCTGGTACTTAAATAAATAAATAAAATAAAAAAATAAATGATATTAATTATTGAACTATAGTAATGAGATAAAATCGGCATAAATAAAACATAAGTAATATAATATTTATGTTATTTCAATTTTTACATTTAAAGAATAATTTTAATAATGATAGCCATCTTTTGGATTTAAATGAATCGTTACTTGAATATAATTATTGTCTCCGTCTCCAACGAAAATATTTCGTTTACTTTCACGCATAGCAAGAATTCGTTCAATGTGTGACCAATTTTCGTGCTGAAAATAAAATATCGTTAAACTTAAAATAAAGTTCTTATTATAAAAAATATTTTAGTAATTGTGTATTTACCAATAAATTTAGGGATACTATGAAAATAGTAAAAAAACGTAAACTATATAGTAATAAAAGGTACAGGTATGTACAGATTACAAAGACGCATTTACTCTCCAGGCGTGAAAACTATATCTATGTAAAAATCACATCAATCTATTGCTATGATTAAAGGCGGACCGACCACTGAACCAATAAACTAATGATAATAGCTTTCGCATTAAGAGTTTGTAAGAAGTAATATTTATATATTATATCTAAGCCAGAGTGAGGCTAGTTTTGTGAGTACTACAAATATGTATACATATATGTTTTTCTTTCAGGAGTCAACATTTTTTTGAAGTCGGTTTATTAAAAATAATATTATATTAATAGACTAGCGGCTCACCCTCGCTTCGCTAGGGTTCGCCTCTAGAAAAACACTAATAGAGATCTATTAGTTCCCACGGGAACCGTTTATTTTTCCGGGATGAAAAGTAATCTGTTGTTTGACTGGCAATATAAGGTATCAGCATGCCAAATTGCCCTAAGAACTATCGACCAATATCTCTTCTATGTCACACATATAAGCTTTTCGAGAGAATGCTTCTGAACCGACTTACGACTGCTATTGACCCTAAACTAATCCCGGAGCAAGCCGGTTTCAGGCCTATTAAGTCTTGCTGCAACCAGACCCTCAAACTCGTGCAATATATTGAGGATGGTTTTGAGGCAGGAATGGTCACAGGCGCTGTATTCGTCGACCTATCTTCAGCTTACGATACAGTTAACCTAAAACGTCTGCTGTGGAAGGTGGAGACCATGACAAATGACATGAATTTTGTCAAAATACTCCGAGAACTTCTTCACAACCGGCATTTCCAAGTCCATCTCCTCTCAGAGAAAAGTCGTTGGAGATCACTAAAGAACGGACTACCCCAAGGTAGCGTCCTGGCTCCGCTTCTTTTTAATATATACACCAACGACCAACCATCTAGTTTAAACACGTCCCGCTTCCTCTATGCAGATGATCTTGCACTCACCTCCCAGGCCACCACTTTCGAAGAGGTCGAGGCGAACCTTTCAAATGCTCTCACTAACTTAGATCAGTATTACTCCGCAAACTCGCTGAAACCAAATCCGAGCAAAACTCAATCCTGCGCATTTCACCTTCGCAATAGAGAGGCAGGGCGAAAACTAAACATTGTCTGGGGTGAGGTGTCTATTGAACACAGTAACTTCCCCAAATACCTCGGCATTACTCTGGATAGGTCACTCACCTTTCGTAAAAACTGCGAGAACATCAAGCAGAAAGTCCATAGCCGGAATCAAATCCTGCGTCGCCTAGTCACTTCTAAGTGGGGTGCCTCGCCTGATGTTCTGCGAACTACTGGGTTGGCCGTTTCCTTCGCTGCTGGTGAATATGCGTGCCCCGTGTGATGCCGCTCTTCCCACGTAAAACTAGTGGATACAGCACTAAACGAAACGTGTCGTATTATTACTGGCTGTTTGAAACCGACTCCGATACCAATGCTGTACCCACTGGCAGGAATTGCGCCTCCAAAAGTGCGCAGAGCAGTGGCGAGCTCCAGTGAAAGGACCAAAATGGAACAAGACACGCGACACCCCTTGCACGACAACATCCTGGTGCCACAAAGGGTAAAAAGCCGTAAAAGTTTTATGAAGTGTGTCTTACCACTTGGAGATGAACGACCACAGGCAAGATGCAGGATGTGGCGGGACAGTTATGGTCCTTTGCCAATCCCATTTGTTCCACCGTCTGAGAATCTTGCGCCTGGACATAGTTTGCCTTGGCAGACCTGGAAGTCTCTCAACAGACTCCGGACTCAGGTTGGCCGAAGCAAGGAAAACTTGTCCAGGTGGGGATTTTCAGCGGGCGGCCTGGAGTGTAGATGTGGTACTGTTCCACAAACGATGAGGCACTTACTGGCCTGCCCTGCTTGCCCTGTTACTTGCAGCTTACAGGAGCTTATGGACGCCACTGACAAAGCAACGATCGTGGCTGAGTTTTGGGCTGACTCCATTTAAAACTTGCCATCGACACGAAAAGAAGAAGAAGATGCCAAATTTTACTAAATTAGGTGCATAAGTTGTTGTGTACTAAGCTGTATAAGTTACTATATTTTTTTAACTATCCCACGGGAACTCTTTAATATTCCGGAATGAAAAGTATCTTACATGTTGACCGGGGATATAAGGTATGACCATGCAAAATTTCATTTTAATCGGTCTAATAGTTTCGGAGATTAACCCGTACAAACAGACAAACAGACAGAGAAACAAAAAAATTGAAAAAAAAAAATAACTGGATTTGTTCTATTTGTCTTCTTACATCCCCCTGACTCGGTTTTTAGCATTTTTTTGCTATGTACAGACAATCGACCGTTTTTTTAATAGTATAGATATAATTATAAATATACTTAGCAATCATAACAACGTCAATAAAAACCTTATTATTTTAAGATTACTTACTAGTATATTGTCCACTAGTCCAGTAACTGCACCAACACTGTTCCGCATCCCGTTTCGCTCGAGTTACAATCTGTAATAAAATATATTTATTTATTTTCTTATTATTTATTTATTATCTATGCATTGTTAAGATTATAGCAACCTTTGTAATTTCTAGTTCATTCGAATTCACGAAATTAAAAAAAAATTGTTATAGATAGTTGTAGTATTTTTTACGACGTTTAAAAATAATTTCATCAGTTTAAGCACCCGCTAAGTTAACCGTAAACATTTAATAAGGATACTATTTACTATTTACTATAATCATTGCATATTTATTTCGAGTAAAAATATGGAAAATATAAATAGACTAGCGACTCACCCTCGCTCCGCTCGGGTTCGTCCCTGGGGTGGGGTCTGGGAGGACCACCCTTATCCTTATCACTTAGGGGTATGGAAAATAGATAGTAGCCGATTCTCAGACCTACTGAATACGCATATAAAATTTGGTAAAAATCGGTAAAGCCGTTTCGGAGGAGTACGGTAACAAACATTGTGACTTGGAAATTTTATATATAAGATTACCTCTAGCGGACTACATCCTACACTTGGAACTTCTTCCATATCGCTGAAATAAAAAAATATACATTTATCTATAGAAGTATGTCACATACCTATCCGTGAGATACTTATTAAATAAAACTATCTCTTCGTATGTTTTCGCTATGAGTATCTCCCGTGACCATGATTCCTGCAGAGCATTCGAAACGTTGGGAACCAAAATCAAAATAAATCTGAAA